CCTGCCAAGAGAGCATTGCAATAGTCCAGCCTGGGTAGAACAAGAGCTTGAACAAGGAGTTGTGTTGATCTTCCTAATGTTGTATAAAGCAAATATGCAGGACCGTTGTTGAAACCACAAGCAGTTCTGTCTTAGCCAGGTTGAGTTGGTCCGTCATCCAACAAGAAATGTCTGTTAGACATGCTGAGAACTTGAAAACTTGAGAACTAAACATTGGACTATGGTGACTGGTGGCTCTATTTTCACATTCCATAAAATAGAATTGCAAATAACTAGGGCACTTTCATCAGGTTTCTCAGTGGGTGTGTCACTGAGTGGGGAGAACCTGTTTAATGTTTCGATCAGAACGGAAGAGCGGTGTTTTGTCCCGTGACTATGCCACCTCACAGTCACCCAGTATGGTAACCCATGCTCAGAATTTGTGCTCTGCATTTATCCCATTAAAGTGCACACACAGCATTGAGTATTGAACACAAACACACACACCCAAAGCAGTGGGCAGCCATTTAGCACCTGGAGAGTAATTGGGAATTCAGTGCCTTGCTCAAGGGCATAGGCGCCGATCCATGGAAATGGCCGAGCACAACATAATTATTCATTGCATTTTCACTAAATGTTCAATAGGTATGTCAAAATGAATTACGTTATTATTTATGTAGAGCTGAATTTAAAAAAATGGCGTATGCATTTCTAGACGATCATAATTTAAAGCTTAGTGTACATAATATTTTTCTTAGAAGCTGTCTATATGTTTTAATTTTTTTGTGTCTAGGCTCCATTTTTGCAACTGAAGATCTGGAGCAATATAATTGCTCATTCTATTTTAGCTAATTATTAAGTGAGGATGTTACTTGTTCATGTGGAGATTAATTAAAAAAATGAAAAGGTGTATGTGTTTCAAACCAAATTGTAGGTGAACACACTGAGCGTGCATAATATTTTTATTAGGATTCCTGTTTGGTTTGGGGGGTTTGGGTTCGGCAGAAAAAGAAAATGTTGGCTACACTGTAAAAAAAAAAAAACGGTCAAATGCCTTGCAGCTACAGCTGCCAAACAAAAACCGTAAAATATCTTAATTAAAATAAAGTGCAAAAACAATAATTTAACAGAAATTTTCATTAAAGGTTTTACAGAAAAAAAATGTTATTTTACAAATTGTTCCTTGTTTCAATTATGATATTTTACTTTAATTGTATGGTTTCTGTTTGGCAGCCATAAGCTGCCAGTCATTTGACCGCTTTTTTACAGAATTGTTTTACAGTGTAAAACCCTTATTTTATAGATTTTTCCTTGATTCTTTACGATATTTTACTTTAATTTTACGGTTTTTGCTTGGCAGCCATAGCTGCCAGTCATTTGACCATTTTTACAGGATTTTTTTTTATAGTGTAAAACCCTTATTTTACAGATTTTTCTTAGATTCTTACAATGAAAGCAATAAATGTTCTACAGAGAAAGACTGTTATTTTACCAATTATTACAATCAAAACCCTTCAATAAAGTGGGAAAGCATGCTCAAGTTGGTAAATTAACAGTTTTATTTGGAAGACAAAATACAAAGTCTGTACAAATGTCATATAAAACAAAAATTGTACATTCTGGTTTCTGAATAAATACAGCACAGTTACATTTAACATTTAACATATATGAAGAACATAGAACAGTTTAATCAAAACGTTGAATTAAATATTTTCAACTTAAAGCATTAGTTCGCTTCCAGAAGAAATATTTCCTGTTAATGTACTCACCCCCATGTCATCCAAGATGTTCATGTCTTTCTTTATTCAGTCAAAAAGAAATTAAAGTTTTTGAAGTACCGACCCACTGTTTATAAAGCGAACATGCAACGAAAGTTAAACGCCCTTTACAAAAAAAAGTAAAACAACGATGTCAGGACAATTTTGAAGTTGGAGGAGAAAATTAGATGAAGTTTTTCGCTCTAACACACCTTTTGGAATCGGAGTACACAGATGAAGACCTAACCGCACGTATATATATACATATATAATAATACATATATATACATATATAATAATATATATTTTTTTTTAAGAAAATGACCGATTGTTTCGCTAGATAAGACCCTTATTCCTCGGCTGGGATCACGTAGAGCCCTTTGTTTTCCTCAAAAGCCTTAAATTCTTTTTGACAGAAGAAAGAAAGACATGAAAATCTTGGACGACATGGGGGTGAGTAAATTATCAGGAAATTCTTTATTCTGGAAGTGAACTAGTCCTTTAAAACTGAAGAAATACAAAACCGATACATCTACAAGTTTTTCAAGATTGATTCTAAAACAATTTTATTATTCAGATGTATATTTACATTATCAATGAATTCTTCTTAAACACTTCTTCAGAGCCCCCAGGAATATTTGATAACTTTGTATCTTGCATTTTTCAAATCAGTTTTATATTGTAATCCACAATATTCTACTGACTCATGTGGGCTCCATATAGCTCTGATAATATATGTAGACAAACATATGTATTTTAAGTCTGAATCCTAGCTATATTTGTGTAATAATAAGTAAAACCAAAACATGCAACAAAATGTCCATGACTCTATATATAGTTTATTTATTTGTTTGTTTGCTTATATATTTATTTTTGTAAAATGGTCTTTTGTCCTATCATCTATGCAGAGTTGGTTGATAACATAACTGCAATAAAGTAACATCATAGTTAACAATTACTTGTTTACATAGGATATATATAAAATGTATTTTATATTATTTAGGCACTTATAGGCTATAGTTTGACAGAATGTTCTAATTCAACATGCAATGGGAAGTCAATATAACTTAACATTTTCTTATATTGATATTGTTTATTTCTTACTCCTTTAACAGTTCATCAGACTCTTAATGATTTAATCTATGCCATCTTTTGGAATATCTGAAGGCCATGAACCATAGTTCTTAACTGTAGCATTTGTTATAATAAGACTAGCCTATCAATCATTACCAGACCAATAATGACTTTTTTTAAGTAATCAATATAGCATGTGTAAATGTAGGGTTACCTTCAACAAAAACAAAACAAAAATTAAGATGATCTTGGAAGGCTGGAATTTATCACATCTATAATGGCACGAGCATCAGTAACCCTGGTAGTCAGAGATTCCTATTCTAACCCTTTAACCTAATTTTGTTTCTGTTTGCAATCAGATTATTTTAAGCCGCTAAACTCTGGGAAAGTTTTCAGCCCAATGTTTCAGTAAGTGACTACATTCAAGCAATCAGTCCAAAACTGAGAGGCTCATGCTCCATTTTCAGTGAATTATTCATTACAGTGTGTGTTTCACTTCAAAAAACAAGCTCTGTCATATTCTGGGATTGTTTCTAAAGAGCGCAAATCCTCATGCTTTACACTGTGTGAAATACAGACTGAATGGAACGCCAGAACATCACATCGCTGTAAAGCCAGATTATATGCAAACTACACTTCTTGGCTGGATACAGTAAACCAGCATCTCAATAGTAATGTTTTGATGGATGAGGATTACAATCAAGATAAAGACGATTGTGGTGACGTACAGTAAGCACGGACTGTTATATTGATGCACAAACAAACCATAAATATGTACTGTAGTAGGTATATGCAGTCAAGTGAAGGTGGTTGGTTTAGGGTTTTTTGGCATCTTAATGTGGTTCTCTTCAGCATTACAACTTGCTCCAACTTTCAACTTTACAACTTGCAACAAGCTTTTTGATGCTGTACTGTACACATACTTAGTTAGCACTGTCAATTTCTGTCCATTTTTTTTTCATGCGTGCTTTGGTGTGTGTAAATTTATGAATTATATGGAGACCTTGTAATGTAATTGGTCATTTGGTGTCCTTTTGGTGTCTCAAAGTGTCCTTTTTTGGAAAGACACTTAAATTTACCTCAAATTAATGGTGTATGAACACAAATTAAGAAATTACATGGTTTCATGATAAGTCTGTGATCCACAAAAAGGGTGCAATTAGTTCCCATTTTAAACACAAGATTTTGAATATAGAAATACTAAATAAAGTAATGAAGTAATACTTTGGTAGGTGGTGGCAAGTCATCCTGGCTAAATTTGCCCATTGGCCTCTGACCATCATGGGCTCCTAACCATCCCCATATCTGCTGATTGGCTTCATCACTTGGTCTCCTCTCCACCAATAAGCTGGTGTGTGGTGGGCGTTCTGGCGCAATATGGCTGCCGTTGCATCATCCAGGTGGATGCTGCACACTGGTGGTGGTTGAGGAGATTCCCCCCCTTCTATGTAAAGCGCTATGAGTGCCCAGAAAAGTGCTATTTAAATGTAAGGAATTAATTTTGTTGAAAGAGTCATTGAGCCATCCATTAAACAGAGTCATTCAAAATGCTGATTTATTCAGGGGCAACACAAGTGGCTGTCTGTATTAATGGATCATTTAATCACTTACTCAACCAATTTGTTCAAAGACGGAACAAAACACCACAATGTGTGCGGTGTTTAGAGAAGAGAAAATCGCACAAAGATTCTGTGACATTATTTTGGAACTTTAGATGATGAATAAAAACGCACCAAATAAAAAAAAAGTGCTTTGTCAGCTTTGCCACACAGATTTTGATAGTTTGACTTCTGTTTTTACAATAAAAATCTTTGAGTGACAGTAATTTCTTAATTTATGTCAAGAGTTGCAAAATCAAAAAAAAAGTGCTTTACTAAACATTGTCCCTTAAAGCTTTTAGTACAAATGTGTGCTCCGAAAGCTTGAAAATGCAGATTGAAAATGGTTGAAAGGGGGATATTATTGTTTTATCATTTCATTCAAGACTTGGCAAACACAGCCATTCTTTAATATGACCACTTCCATTTTCAAAATTGATTCTATGGTCTTGCAAAATGTCTATA